TTTTTGGTAAAAACACCATGAAAAAAAAGTAAAACACCATGGTATCCAAACAGAGCCTAGTTTTTTTTGTTTTGTTTTTGTAATTTTTTATCGCTTTAATTTGTAAATGCCTTTTTTGCCTATTTCCATTAATGCAGTTCATCTCATCTTATTCCTGAACAGTAATTTTGGGATTTACTCCTCAGATCCTCTTTACTTTGAAGAGCTTATTTCTAGAGAAATTTACTCGTTACCTTGCCTTTACCTCTGAGACCTGTTGGGACTACAAATAAAATGGATTAGTAAGGCAAATAACAATGAAATGACCAAAGGTAATTCTTAGTAGTAAGACACCGATATTTTTTAACGTGTAGTAAAAAAACGTGGAATCTAGTCCAGAAAAATCTTTCACTATTAAAATAATTGATATACAAAGTTCCATCTCTAGACACTTGCTAGAGGTACATGATACATGAATAACTAGTATTGAAGAAAAAAGGGCTTCTTCAGCACTAGAAAAGTAACATACAAGACCGAGTGAAAACACTCACTCCCTTTTGTCTAGACACTTGCTAGAGGTACATGATACATGAATAACTAGTATTGAAGAAAGGAGGGTTTCTTCAGTACCAAAAAAGTAACATGCAAGACCGGGTGAAAACACTTCCTTTACTTGTTGCTTCTGCTTTATTTGCTTAAATTAATGAAATTGCTTCGCATTTATAGGCCAAAGCTTCACATGTGAATGTAACACCTCAGCACAAATTAAAGTTAGCTGCACACTAGACTAGTAGCTCTCCAATATTGACATAAGTTTATTGAACAATTCTTTTTGTTTTTTTCACCAGGGTTCATTTATGGGTTTCACCGACCCATAAGTTTATTGTGTGGTGTCCAAATAGGGGACCCACACAACAATGAGAGCATGGTGGATCTAACCCCTTTTTGTAAGATGGAATGAGAGCATCAGTGGCAGTAGTATGATAATCAAACTTAATAATTTTAATTAGTTGATCTGGAAGTTAGATAGAGGATAATATTTTTTGCAAGGATTTATATGATCCTATTGAAGGAAGCCCCAATATAAAGCACTTGAACAAGTTCCAAAGCATCACGAACTATCTAGTAACGATAAAAGTTATTTTTGACCACAAAGTACAAGTGTTGCTGTTGTTGGGATCATTGTCGGACAACTAGGATATCCTTTTTATAAGCATAATAAATTTTGCTCCGAACGGCATCGTCTTGATGAGTGTTGTTACTGGTAGCCTGTTCAATGAAGAAACCTTAAGAAAGATGTCAGGCTCAGAACATGCACAAGCCCTCGTCACGGAAGATAGAGGAAGTAGGAGTACAACGTCGGCGATTTTCTTCAAGAACTCTAGAAACAAATCAAAATCTAGATCAAGTGAGTCTTCAAATTGAAGAAAGACGGAGAAAAGTGTTGAATCACAAAATACGGTTGGTCGCCAAAGGTTTTTGGCAGAAGAAAGGAGTTGATTTTGACAAGATTTTTTCTGCAGTTATGAAGATGACGTCAATCATGTCAGTTTAGTTGCAAAAATGTATCGCTTGATCCTCGACAGAAGTAGAGTATATCACATTTGCAGATGCTGGTAAAGAAATATTGTGAATGAAAGGGTTTCTCCAAGAATTGGGTTTGAAGCAAGGTGATTACGTTTTGACAATCAGAGCGCTATTGATTTTAGCAAGAATAATATTTACCATTTTCGAAGAAGCATATAGATGTGAGATACCACTAGTTAAGAGATGTAATGGAAGAGAAGCATATAATTATGTAGAAGATTCATACTGATAACAATCCGGTTGATATGTTGACAAATGAGAAGCAATTTCATTGGTTTATAAATGAGAAACAAACTCATTAATTGAAGCAGACCAAACCAGAACAAGCAGTGTGTGTGGGAGAGAGAAAAAGTGAGAAAAGAGAGTGGGTGTATCCACACCAGTTTTTGTGTTTCACCCCTGTTTTGTATTCCTTCTTAGTGTAAAAGAAGTCTTATTTTCTTCCCTACTTGTTGTTGGTGTACTTCTAGAAAGTGTCCAAGGACAAAACTTTATGCACCCATTGTTTTCATAGTGGAAGATTTCTCTAGACTATGTTTATTGGTTTTTACCTTTAGTTGAAGAGTTTTCCACATTAAAAATACCATTGTATTTCTAAGAATTTTCTTTGGTCATTTCATTATTATTTGCCTTATTAATCTATTTTATTTACAGGAAGAAGTCACTTGATCACCTCATTTTTCCAACACATGTCTCGTTAGCTTGTGGAAATTCGTTCTAAATATTATTGGTTATGGATTACTTGTATATGCTCTCTATATGTAATAGCATAGATTTTATTTGGGAAGCATGGGTACAGACATATGATATGGGCTCAGCATGACATCGATGTAATAACACAACAATTCCTTAAAAATTATGACATGAGGAGAAGACATCATGCAAAATGTACACATACACATATGCGAGTTAGAATCCTCACAACACCAGTTAGAGGATTTCTCTATGGTCGGAACTCTAAGCCAACAACAGTGAAATACAAGCAATAGGGAAATCTTTGCAACTGATTGAGAATGCGATGAGATATCTGTTTCAATAATTTAATCATCCCTAATCTTAGAAATATAACCTGTTTTTCTCTTAATTTCTTAACTTCCAACATCTTTGATGGATAGGCTAATTTTTTTAGCCTAATCTTAGATGTCGGGAACGTGTGACACTATAGCAAACCATGACATCGGTTCAATCGTCTTGGAACGCGGTACACTAGCGTTTTGGGTCGCGTACTGAGCAACCCGATTTAGAATTCAAATTAGTAAATATTTGAAAACAAAAAGCATTTTTTTGAAAAAAATAAACAACAAAGAGTGTACCTTAATTGCACTTGAAAATTCTTTTACTATCATTGATCCTTGAATTTGACATTTATAAAAAATTGTACATTAAGGCATTTAGATTCCTATATTTAAAAACTGAACCTAAAACATACCACGTTCCCTAGTGTACCATATAAGCCCACCCTCATCGTACTCAATTCCAAATAAGTGGCCTACCACCCTCTCGTTCCCGTTCCATGAACTAGAACATACAGGGTCCCATGTAACTATGAGCCCAATCTATTATTTAGCTTTCTAAATCTCTTTCGCGCATTCCATTTTGTAGCATCAGATTCTAGTCCTCTGCCTTTTTACTTTCCTCTGAATTAGTTAGCTCCCAAGAAAAATTCATAGATTGTGTATTTAGTCTAGAATCCTAAGCCTTAACCTAATTTATTTATAGTATTTGAGTTTATTTATCCAAGCACACAAATGATAGCCAAATGTTAGTTTCCACTTGATTTAGAGTTTGTAATGCTAAGTTTAATGCCATATTCAAAGAGCATTTGCATGTTTACCTTGCTTGACAATTATTTAGAGTTTCTTCTAGGTTCGAAAAGAAAAACATTTTACAAATTAATATGTTATAAATAATTGGAGCGAACTCTGAGTTTGAATTTGATTTTGTTGGTAAGTTATCAAATACATAGAAGTCGGGAACTTGGGACGCTATAGCAAACTGTCGGTTGGGTTCCATCGTCCCATTTTTGCGTGGAACACGAACCGATTCACCAACTTTAGCGACCCGATTTAGAATTCAGACTAGTTAAAATTTTTAAAAAATAACGCTTTTTAAAAGAAGAGAATTTAAAACACATGAGAAATTAAGCAAATGATGTATACCTTAATTGCAACATGATTCTCAAGGTTCTTTTACCATTCCGTTACTAGTATCAGCTAGTATATTTTTTAAATTTGACTTTTGCAAAACCCGTGATTCCTACAGTTAAGAACCAATCCTAAAGCGTCCCACGTTGCTTGGCGTATTGTATAAACCTATACCCATCGTACCCGATTCCTAATGAGTGGCGTACCACGCTCTCGTACCTGTCCCGTGAACCGAAGCAAATCGGGTTCCATGCAACTATGGTCAACTATTATGTTCAAGGATTGCTTCAAAATCTGGAAGATTTGGGGAGTAAATAGGATAAATAGGAGACTCCCGTTTCTTTTATCAGGGAAGTTTTAATTACCAAAGAAAATACCTCATGTGTGGAGAGAGTTAATGCAGACAGTAATGTCATCGTGGTGTTCAAGTGGTAGGTCTGCTAAAAATTTCTCTATCCACAGTCCTTGATGCTATTAATTGGGAGACCTGATTGTAGGAATTTACTAAAAATCAGGACCCTAGAGGATCTGAAACGAGCCCACCACTAAAATTGAAACAAAGATAAAATAAAACCTTAATGATTTAAATCCTTAGAATCTTACACCATCCCCAATTAAATCAAAGAAAGAGATAAAATAATGCAATTTAGAACATGACTCAACAACTAGTGTACAATGTCCTTCACATTGTAGGCGGTGTTTACTAGTGTATTAGGTTAGCATCTGACACGTATTAGAGTGTTCCTTCACATGCACATTCACGCTGCACACTCAGTCATGCTTTCTCATATACACAAATGCACAACCACAACCACAAATTGGATGCCATGATATTAAGCCATTTTTTTAACCTTTTAAACATGACACCACTCTGCATGTTGGTGTTGCTGTGATGTCTCTCATATGTGTCATCTTGTTGTTAATTGTATAAACATGAATACAGAATTTTGATCTTATGTGCTTTGTGAGATTTCACTTATTCGTCATCACACATGTCACAGACATTATGTGGCCCTGTCTTCATGCTGTCAAAATTTTAGGCGAACAAGTAGAAGACCAGTGGAGTCTCTTATGTTTCTGTAATTTGATTTATGGTATTTAGAAATGATCTTAATAAAATTTCCTTAGTCACTTGTTTCTTCCTTCCAGTGTGTGCTTTTAGCAACTTCAAATGAAAGCATGTTGTCCTTTTCTATTTGTTGGTTTTTGGTTTTCACAAATAAAATATTTGTTGCTGTGTTGGGCTTACTTTTATAAGAACACGTGCATCTTCTGACTGTAACATTTCAGTTCCGATCCAGAGAAGCTATTTTTACAACCATGGATGCCCAATCCTCAAGAGGGATGCAGCTGGTAGAGTTATGTGCCAAGTGAAATTGGAGGATGATGTTGATGATGAGACGTGTGAATTGGTTAGTGGACTTGAACTTGTTATAGGGGAGGGCCAGGACAGCATCCGTGCTTATCTGTTGAAGGCAGTAAAGAACAACAATGGAACTGGTGTGCTTCTTCTATCTGATATATTTGGATTTGAAGATTCCTCTACACGGGACTTTGCGTATCGGGTTGCTTGCAATGGTTACAAGTATGTTTTTCTTCCTGTTCATTACACGTGTAGGATGTTATATTACTTGTCCTGTTGTATCTGTTGATCATTTTATTCGAATTTCTTTCTTCATATGTTGCGAGCACGATATACTAACCGCCTTATATTGTTCAACTGGATTTTCATTTGTAGACCCAGTTTTCTTGAATTTTACCTAGACCTTGTCAAATTAAACCATCTGTAGACGCTCATCCTTGAAGCAAGTTTCTGGTCTTTGAAAGCATTTTCCTCGCAGACCCCATCACAATCACCTAGTTTTTAATTGACAAAAACAATTTTTAGGCTATGTAATGAATATAATTAGTGCCAAATGATGATAAAATTGCTGAAATTCTCATTTACTAGGAGGGAGCATACTAGACTCAATCTTACTCTGAACTGGAGAAAAGGGTTCTTATTTATAGTTGCAATTGCAAGCAGCTACCCTGGAGGGCTTCCAATGCAATTGGCGTTGACCTTCTACTTCAATTGGTCTTATTGAATTCCGAGGCCACGCTTCGCATGTTTTCTATCACAGAACTTGTCGTGGCTTTTTCTGAAATTATCATAGTCCACTCACCGCCTAATTTTACTGCATATATTGGCATGGTGCTTATTGGAACTTTATTTGCACTGTGGCTTCATTTACTATTTGGAGCTTGTTAGTTGTCGTAAAGACTAGAGTTTAGCACTCAAATCCCATCCTTTGGTGTGATGCGACTTGAGGGAACATCTGGCACGGAATGACATCTTCATGAGGTTATATCAATTGTATTGCATTCTTCTTCTAGTCATATATGCCTTTTCTTGGGAAATAAATGTGCTTGTCCCTTCAAAGAAGCCGTCCATCACAAACATCATTATTTATTGGATTGATTTTTGGTTGCATGAATTTAAGATGACAACCAATAGGTAGGTTTTACCTGGCCTATTAGGTTCATGGTGAGCCTATTTTTTGCCCAGACATTTCTAGCAAAGAATTCAGCACCGACCAGAGACAATATCAGGTTGATGGCACACCATACCCATAGGCCATTCTTCCGTGGCAACTTTTATTTGTTAGGCTCCATTATTGATCCATTTTTTGATAGAAAAGACAACATATAACGATAACGAGTATTCACTTGTCAAACTCTAATTATATCCTCTTACACAGTAAACCAACTTCCGTGCATAATCTCATTGATGCGATATAGGTAGCATGAACAATAATATAGTGTAGTTGTGTAGCGTCAGACCCGAGTGTGTCATGTGTACTTTAAGAATTTTTGTTGTTAAGACAGTCTGTCTTCATGCAATATAGGATATGATCAAGTCTTTGCCATACACTTGTATTTTTAAACACTACTGTCTTCATGCAATATAGGATATGATCAAGTCTTTGCCATACACTTGTATTTTTAGACACTTTGTCCGCTTATCTCCCTCTTTCAGCAAGTAACTACAATGTTTAAGTCTCGTAAATTCAAATGACCTCCCGTCCACTTTGGCCCCTGTGAGCTTAAATTCTACTTGCTTCCCATGCCCTTGCTCCTCATGTGTCCGTGTTACTGTATCATCATTTGTGTAGGAATTAAAATTTTTGAATGTTTCTGAAGTAACGAATCATCCACCGCTACACCTGCACACACAAACCACACTCATCTTTTAGGTTTTATAGGTTCTATCCACTTCAATTGGATTCAAGAGATTGAAAGGGCAAGCTTTGCTGGTTTTACCACTATTGCCGGTTTTCATGGCAAACTTACACCTCTTTATCCTACAACTGTCTGTAATGTATATTTCTTCGAAGAAGCCCTGGAGGCTTACACCATGAGAGGGAAGAAAGTCTTTGAACGGGAGAGGAGACACCCCAGAGGAGAGGGCAAGTCTTCACATTCGAAGAAGACCACTTCGATGAAAGGGGAAAGAACCTGGTGGAAGGGAGAAATTATTTGATCTAATGGGCTCAATTTGTGCACATAGATCTCAGCAATCTTCGAAACTTGTTAGTAGGATAATAAGCTGGCAAAAGGACTGCCCTCACTTCCGATTGACACATTTGACAATCTCCTACTGGTGTTGTGCCTGCCGACTAAGCTAAGATTAGTTGGTACATTGCGCATTTAATCGTATAATTTCTCATATTCATGCACAATACTTTTCTGGTTTAATCTTAACCTATTCCTCATTTTTTTGGGGTTGAAAATGCGATATCTCGCTCCTCCTGTTTTCAGGGTGGAAATTCCCCTCTCTTGCACCCTTCATACCTTTGACCTCTCACCACCCTTTTTTATTGGACACCCTTGTATCATCCCCTCTTAACTAACCAAGCTCATCTTAAATTGGTTCTGCAGGTTTAGTGTCAACTTTGAGTTATTTGATTTCTTTTTTTATTTTAAATTTCCTATTTCTTAGTCTAGTTTCAAGCTTGTATATTTTTATAAATAGACCCCCAATACTATTACCGAATTACAGACAGACCTCCTGTACCATAATTGTTGCAGGTAGATCCCCCGAGTTGTTTTCTTACTGTTACCTTTAAAGGTATATTTGTCAAAAAATAATTCTCTCTCTTGGGTAAAACAATCAAACAAATTTCACTCAAGGGGTCTATCTGCAACAAATTTCACTACAAGGGGTCTATCTGCAATAACTTTTGTGATAATTGCTTAATTAGTCATATGCAAAATATCTTTTTATCCTTGTGATCTAAAGTTGCATAGCTAATTGAATTTGTACTCTTCCATTCATTACCCTACTGACACATTAGTATATATCAAAACTTCTGCATCTCTTGTAAATTCACAGTTTCCATTTTGACATTTCATTAACAGTGTACTTTTACCTGATCTTTTTCGTGGGGACCCATGGAGCCAAAGCCGCCTCCATACTGAATTTGAGCCATGGCTAACAAGCCAACTAGCATCAAGGGTAGCAAAGGATATTGATACATCAGTCAAGTGGCTTGCCAATGAATTCACAGCAGCTGGAATATCGGAGAAGCTCGGTATAATTGGATTCTGTTTTGGTGGTGGAAAGCTAATTGAGACATTGGCTCGGGATCAGCACTCAAAATTTGGCACTGGATTCTGTTTTGGTGGTGGAAAGCTAATTGAGACATTGGCTCGGGATCAGCACTCAAAATTTGGCACAGGCGTCTGTTTCTACGGAACACGGATCGATACATCTTTAGCTAGAGACATCAAAGTTCCTGTCCTGTTTATATGCGGGGATAAGGATCATCTTTGTCCTCTTGGTATATTAGAGGAGGTGGAGAAGAAAGTTGAGGGTTCGAGGGTAGTAATCTACTCTGGAAGAGGGCATGGATTTGCTCATCGGCCAGAATCTCAGGAAGAAGATGATGATGCGGAGAATGCTTTTGCCATTATGAGGAGTTGGCTACAGGATTGCTTGGTTTCGGTTAAGAACCGTATTGTATAACCTTTAAAAAGTTTTTAGATGTTGTTTCAGTTATATGAATAGGGTAGTGTTCATGCTGTTGTTTATTCTGTTCAACTTCTAGTTGTTTCTCACATTCTACAAGTGTGTTGTGGTAATTAAGTTTGTATGTGATTTATTGTATCGTATATGAGTTGTTTTTGGTGATTATGTTGGCTAGATACTTAGAGAGGGTGGCCGAGCTTATTTTTATAAGCTTTTAATCTATCCTAGCTTTTGGTGGCTTTCGGCTTTTATGACAAGAATAGTATAAAAACTTTTTTGGTAGAATCGTAATTTGTTTTGTTAAACTAGCTTATTTAAGTGAGCTTTTAAGCTAGTTTTTGAAAAGCTGGGTTACTTTTGAGTTTTTATGAGTTTTGATGAGCCAAAATGGTATTTTTGTATAAAAATGAACTCTCTATAATATCTTTTGAGTTTTTATGAGTTTTGATGAGCCAAAATGGTATTTTTGTATAAAAATGAACTCTCTATAATATGGTTAGCAAGAATCAAAGGTTTCAGTTTATAAAAGTTCACCAATGTTCTGTTTAATAAAGATTTAGATCTGAATTTTGCTTAAACAAGAGTTAATTCATGTTTACTATTATCAAAACGTTTTAATCTTTTTTCTCTTGTATTTAGAATGTTGGGAATATAGTTTACATGCTTAAAATTCATTGTTTTTCTACAGTATGAGTTATAGAGACATTAGATCTGTATTATCGTAGAAATATACAATTTTTATTTCAGGTTTTGAGCTGACAGAAACCCAGATTTGGGTTTCTGTCCGCTTGGCGGTCGACCGGTGCGGTCGACCGCTGGGCTCGCTGTAGGGGCAGAAATAGCCTGCGGTCGACCATACCGGTCGACCGCGACGTTCTGCCGGTCGACCGAGATGCCGCAGCGGTCGACCAACCGGGCTCGTATCAGAGTGCGGTCGACCGAGTCGGTCGACCGCCGCACTGTCTGTTGCAAATCCCTGTATTGTGTATTTTTGAGCATTTTACTCATGTTCGAGTGTTTGCCTGGATTATCTGACCTTGGTTTTTAGTCTTACTATGTACCCAGGAATGATAGATGACCTGAGAGTACCAATTGTGGATATATACACTGATTTGATCGTGAATTGATATAGGTAGATTTCACTATGTATCTCAGCGATATTTTCACCATTTCACAGTCCTCGTGTTGGACTATAATCCATAGAAGTCCTCGTGTTGGACTATAATCCCTAGAAGTCCTCGTGTTGGACTATAATCCATTTCTGTCCTCGGGTTGGACATTTGCACTTATTTCAAGAGTTTGGAAACAACAGTATACAGTTCCTGTATCGGACATATTCTCTTGACCCGGAATATGAGTTTTTCTCACAGGAGTTTATGGCATGACACTCATGTAGATTTTGACATGATATTTATGTAAGTAATAACATGATACTCATGTTGGCTATGTCACAGCACTGTATTTATGCTCTGGTGTTTGTCGCATTTCTTTTATTATTGTTACTGTACTATAACCTTGGGTTTGGTATTTAGGGGTTTATAATTTGAGATGTAAGGTATATACATGAGGGTTTCCTTGTTTGGATTATTTCGCTCGACGTACCAATTCTCGTGTTGTAAATTTCTAAATACTAAAACCCTCTTTAGTAAGATCAATGATTTTTAGATCTATTACAAATTATCTGTATTTTCTTATACAACGAGCCCTGTTCCCTTGGGGTTGGTTGTGATGTTACTCGCTAGCGCTTTGACGCTCGTTGTCCCTCCCCCTTTCAGGTAACTAGCCAGGAGCCCGGAGAGTCGTAGGTTGATGGCGATGCATTTTTAGCTTCAGCTGTCTAGTTAGTTATATGTTTTATTTGGAGCTCCACTTTAGATTTTCTTTTGTTTAGACATTTGAGAGTCTTGTTCTAGAAGTTGTAAAGGCTGTGTGCCTTATTTTCTTTTGTCAGATATTTGTATTTGAGACTTGTTGAGTATTCTAGTTTATCTACACAGACCTTGACTATGTACTTCAGTATGTTGGATGATGAGATATTTATGTGATTTCATTTCATCAGTATTTCTTGTGTTATCTTTCACTTGCTTTTGTACCTACACATGTTGTTGATTTCTACTAGATAGATGTTAATTGTGATGGTGAAACATGTTATTGCACGGTGTGGTGCATGGCGGGTTAGACATTCTTGGTTTCACCTTTGACTACAGCCTTGTGTGAACCCAGGGGCGTCACAATATATATATATATATCACATATATATATATATATATATATATATACACACACACACACATGCTTGGTAATGAGCCAACCTCACTATCAAGTTCAATGAAAGAACTTGGTACCAAAATTCTCCATATTTCTCATATATAATATTGTCAATGGAAAAGATAAACTGAGTACTCCTTTTCTTCTTGTTGCTTAAATACTTTCCTCCTTCTTTGTCCTACATTAAACTGGAATTAGGACATGAAGGGACATTGCAATAGATACGAGAGGAGCTTTTGCATGATCTTTTAAATTTCCAGTTTTTTTCCATTTTATTCATTGTATTTGCAACGACAATAATAATGACAAGTAATTCATCTTAATAAATCAGGGATGATTGTTGATGAGATAATTGCTGAATAGAAAAAAGAAAAAGTTTAACAGAGAGACTGAAGGAGAAAATTAAGGAGGTGATGCTAGTTTAGCGGGAGATTAAATGAGAAATGTGCAAGAGTTTATTTAGAAAGAAATTGAAAGGCCAAGGGTAGTAACTCATGAAGTTTTAATTACAAAGAAATTGAAATGAGTTAATTAGGTAGAAGAATTTGAGAGGGAAGATTAATAGTCAGGTTTCTAAAAATGTGACACGTGTCAATGCTCAAGAATTTTGACACCTAGCATTTTAAGGTATTACTTTAGTATATTGTATGGATATGTGTATGTGTGTGTGCAGACACACACGTAAAAGGAAAATAAAGTACGAGGTGACACCTCATTTTATAAAATGAGCTACCAAAAAATGCACATGTGATGAGGCCTACCTTAGTTATCACAGTAAAAGCTCATTTTATAAAATGAGCTACCAAAAAATGCACATGTGATGAGGCCTACCTTAGTTATCACAGTAAAAGGCATGGGCCTCACCATTTCATCTCTTAAATGCACATGTGATGAGGCCTACCTTAGTTATCACAGTAAAAGGCATGGGCCTCACCATTTCATCTCTTGGTAGCTGATGCGGCATAAACATGTACCAAAAATATTGCAAATGCACAACCGTGTCAAGTTATAGTATAAAAGTTATCGATCCCACGAGGAAGGTGTTTTGTAGGAGAAAATATAAATTGGTTCTTATGTTGTGTGCATGACAAATAGGAGGAGAGAATGAGTGTGATTGTGGAGAGATGGAGAGAATGAAAATGATTGTGTAAATGAATATATTTGAGAGTGGAAGTAATAAAAAATTAAATGTGATCAACAAGGCAAGAAGGAAAAATCAAGAAACAAATAAAAATCAATAATGAAAAATAAAATTCAAGAAAGTAAAGTTGGTGGATTCAATTAAAGATATGAGTAATCTAAAATTGAACCCACTTCTTAGAAAAGGGTGATTTCCTAGAGGGCTCTAGCCTAAAAGCGAATCAAAGAAAAATAAAAATAAACAACAAGAAAAACTAAACCCAAGAATTAAATGTGAGAAAATAAATCTACTTTCTAAGCATGAAATAAGATCTAACTACAAGCATAGAAATAAATCTAAACTAATAAGCAATAAAAAAAAGAAATAAAAGAGAAAAATAAAAGAAATGCAAACCTTCGAATAATTCTTCACCTCCATCTTCATCATCTAACAAAGAGAAGAAATATTTAAAGTGGTGAAAAAAATTATTTTATTAATTATAACAAAGTTACAAATTTGGAAGGTCTTCTCAATTAAGAGTGGCCCTCCTCTCCAAATGGTGTTACAAAAATTTTCACATCCTTAACCCCTCACTCTCTAACCCTATTTATAGTAAACAATAATGAATGAGAGCCATTGGATGAAGACTTAAGCCCTAAGGAATCATTTTTAGCCTTTGAGCTTTTGGGCTTGGATTCTTTGGCCTTTTGCTTGTTGATTTTCCATTGGGCTTCTTGATTTTCCTTTGAGCTTTGCTTCATTTCTTCAAGATTCATGCTTCATTGTTTTGGTTCTGGGCTTTTGCATCATAGGCTTCTAGCTTGATTTTTGGATTGTTCACAATGCGTACAAGAAATAAGGTTTTGCTTCATTGGCTTTGGCGTTTTGGGCTTCATTAATTCATGGCTTGATTCTTTTGCTTTGGGCTTTTGGATAAATTAACAATTTGATTTTTCAATGGGCTTCTTGATTTCTCTTTTGCTTTATTTCTTCATTAAATTAAGGGCTTTTGACGAGAGATGAGATTTTTTGGAATTTATTCTTTATTAACCTGCATTTAAAGATAAAAATAATTATTAGTGGCATATTTATTCATATAAAATAGATAATGAGAGTATAAAATTATAATACTATATGATTATTAAATACCTCCACACCAAATCTTTTGCTAGTCCTCTAGCAAAGAAAAAAATTCCTAACTTACTTTCGCAGGAATCGCGGTTGTATTTAGCGCATACAACAAGCCTTTAAACCCCTAGGTTACCCTAAGGGACGAGTTGTAGTCTCGTGAGGGTTTGCAGTGCATATACTCACAAAATTCGGTCAACTTGCCAATTTAAAGAGGTTAGTGAATAACTCAATTTACTTGATAATTTTAGACAATCTAATTGAAGCTAGTTAATACTCAAGAAAACATTTTTATAAATAACTCTAAGGTAAATTTCCTAGAAAATCTTCTCATTGTAACAATACAAAACTAAGCCAAACTTAGAAATTTAATTTAAAAGTTTTGAAAAGAACATGCTAACTCATTGTTTTAAATAATTTTCAAGTTGCTTGATCTAAAATTTAAGTATGAAAATACTCTTTGGGCTTAATTACTCGGTCAGCTTAGGCTTTATAAGATAGAATCACCTTTGAATTCAAGATTTTTTTTGGTGCCCATTTTCCGCACTCTTCTTTTGTAATGCTAATTATTATTATTATTATATATGTATATATATTCTGAAAAATATGTAAATCGAGACACTTTGAAAAATTATTTTCAACTCTAAGATAAGCATGGAAAAATTTTATTACTTTAATAAAAATCCAAGTTAAGGCTTAAGTAAAGTATACAACTTTAAAAATTATTTCTTAAGAAATTTATTTAGAGTTATCATAAAAGGTGAACTTAAGTAAATAACCAACTAGGGATTAGAAAATTTCAAATTTATCAAATAAATCAATTATTACTTAACTCTATCAATTTGACAAGTGATAATATTTTTATAATTTTTTTAAGACATAAAAAGTAATCAAAAATATAACTAAAAGGTAAAATAAAGAGGAAAAAATAACTAATTCCCATCCTCACACCTAAATTTTGCATTGTCCTCAATGCAAACTCTATGATGCATAAAGTAACGCAGATAAGAAGTGAAATACTTACAATGGTCGGCATGATGAAAATCTGCAATTACTTTTGTCTTGTGGAGGATGAAATCATTAATTTATAGACATACATATATATATATATATATATATATATATTATATATATATATATATATAATATAATATATATACTATATATAGAGAGAGAGAGGAGAGAGAGAGGAACTTATGTCAATACTTAAGTGAAGCAGTCCGCTGAATTTTCTTATCATTGATGATCACCTTGATTGAGCTACATTGTGGATGATCCCGTCACGTTGAACGTGGTTCAACATATTCTAAAACCCCCACACACACAAATTTGGGGTGAACCCGTTGTGGTTTGACCCTCCGTTGAGGCCAATGTAAAAGTTTCTATATATTCGAACCGTTAAAATTGATACGAGTTGGCATGAAGGTCAAACCACGCAGGGTTCACCAATTTGGTGTGTTGGGGTTTTAGAATATTAGATAAGTTCAACGGCGGGATCATCATAATAAAGCTCCAATCAAGTGATCATCAAATGACTAAGAACTCAGTGGACGCGTCCACCTTAATTCGACATAAGTTTTCTCTTCTCTCTCTCTAAAAAATTAAGAAAATAATGTGATTCTAGGCCGCGTCCTTAGTGGGAGGCGTAGGGGTGTCAACTTAGATTCTTTTCCGCATATATTATATATATAAATATATTTTATATATATATTATATAAATATATTTTATTATATATTTTTATATATAGATATATTATATTATATATTAATATATATTTATATTATATATATATTATATATATAATATATATATATATAATATATAAATATATATATATATATATATTATAATATATTATATATATATATATATATAATTATATTTATAATATAAGATTAATATATCATATCTGTGTTACATATTGAATATAATATAAGATTAAGACTAGGCAATGTTACATATAATTAATATATATATGAATATTAATATATTATATATAATATTATAATATATAATATTTAATATATATAATCTATTCCTCTATAATAATAGGATGACAAGAATCACTGTTCATGCATGTATATGAAAGTGCTGGCAGTAATGTACTAGGTAGGCATTATACTATATATTATACATAATATTAAATATATTATATATATATATATATTATATATTAATATATTTATATATATATATATATTATACTTATAATCATTATTTAGCATTATAAATGTATATTTTAAACATTATATATATATATATTATATTATACTATATTATTTATATATACTGTATATATATAATAGTATTTATATACGTATAATTATATATAATATATATATATAAGATTATATTATATATATATATTTATTATATATATATATATATAGTATATAATATATATATATATATATATAATATATATTATATATATATATATATATATATATATAGAGAGAGAGAGAGAGAGAGAAATATGGAAACCTTAGTACCTAAGTTGCTTAAAGTAACTTGGTAGTGATGTAGCATAATTCTGCCCCACATCACACCTCAAAGATAGAGCCTCAACCACCTTCACAATCAATGTAGATGTAGGACAAGATTAGGCCAATCACTACAAGTTGTTTGGAGCAACTTGGTACCCGAAGATTTCTCGCATTTCTCTCTCTCTCACGTCACTCTCTCTTCTCTGCTCTCTCTCTCTCGTATACTATATATATATATATATATATATATATATATATATATATATATGATATATATATATACTATATATATATATATATAATTATATATATATAATATATATTATATATATATATATTATATAATGTATAAAATATATATTATACGTATAAAATATTATATTATATATATAATATATATTATATAATGTATAAGATATATATGATGTATAATATATAAAATAGATGTATTATGTATATATATATTATATATATGTATATAATATATTATATATATATATATATATTATATATTATATATATAATATATATTATATATATATTATATGTAATGTATAAAATATATATACTAATGCTACAAGTAATTTACTGCAGCATTTTACTAGCAGCAGAACAGTGATTCTTAGGTCTCCTAATTATTATAGGGAATAGATGTATTATATTAAATATTATATTATTATAATATTATATATAATATATTAATATTATATTATATTAATTATTGTAACATTGCCTAGTCTATAATCTTATATTATAATATTAATAAAAATATATGTGCAACAAATTTCACCAAGGGGTCTATCTGGCAAAAATTTCACTACAAGGGGTCTATCTGCAATTAACTTTTGTGGATAATTGCTTAATTAGTGATTATGCAAAATATCTTTTTATCCTTGTGATCGTAAGTGGCATAGCTAATTGAATTTGTACTCTTCCATTCATTACCCTACTGACACATTAGTATATCAAAACTTCTGCATCTCTTGTAAATTCACAGTTTCCATTTTGACATTTCATTAACAGTGTACTTGTACCTGATCTTTTTCGTGGGGACCCATGGAGCCAAAGCCGCCTCCATACTGAATTTGAGCCATGGCTAATACCTGATCTTTTTCGTGGGGACCCATGGAGCCAAAGCCGCCTCCATACTGAATTTGAGCCATGGCTAACAAGCCAACTAGCATCAAGGGTAGCAAAGGATATTGATACATCAGTCAAGTGGCTTGCCAATGAATTCACAGCAGCTGGAATATCGGAGAAGCTCGGTATAATTGGATTCTGTTTTGGTGGTGGAAAGCTAATTGAGACATTGGCTCGGGATCAGCACTCAAAATTTGGCACGGGCGTCTGTTTCTATGGAACACGGATCGATACATCTTTAGCTAGAGACATCAAGGTTCCTGTCCTGTTTATATGCGGGGATAAGGATCATCTTTGTCCTCTTGGTATATTAGAGGAGGTGGAGAAGACAGTTGAGGGTTCGAGGGTAGTAATCTACTCTGGAAGAGGGCATGGATTTGCTCATCGGCCAGAATCTCAGGAAGAAGATGATGATGCGGAGAATGCTTTTGCCATTATGAGGAGTTGGCTACAGGATTGCTTGGTTTCGGTTAAGAACCGTATTGTATAACCTTTAAAAAGTTTTTAGATGTTGTTTCAGTTATATGAATAGGGTAGCGTTCATGCTGTTGTTTATTCTGTTCAACTTCTAGTTGTTTCTCACATTCTACAAGTGTGTTGTGGTAATTAAGTTTGTATGTGGATTTATTGTATCGTATATGAGTTGTTTTTGGTGATTATGTTGGCTAGATACTTAGAGAGGGTGGCCGAGATTTATTGTATCGTATATGAGTTGTTTTTGGTGATTATGTTGGCTAGATACTTAGAGAGGGTGGCCGAGCTTATTTTTATAAGCTTTTAATCTATCCTAGCTTTTGGTGCCTTTCGGCTTTTATGATAAGAACTGTATAAAAACTTTTTTTGTAGAATCGTAATTTGTTTTGTTAAACTAGTTTATTTAAGTGAGCTTTTAAGCTAGTTTTTGAAAAGCTGGGTTACATAAGTTTTCTAAAATGGGCTTGTAAACAAACTTTTGTGGTATTCTGCCAAATACATAGGTATGGAAAATATAAGCTCCTCCAAACACCCTCTTGGTCTTTACTGCCTGTTCACTAGAATATTAAGATATATCTGAGCACATTTTATGTGAATATTGAGATTATATCTTTGATATTATATGTTGTGTATATGTTACTTTTCTGCTAATACATGTGTAGTCTTGCTTGTTGGTTGATCTTTTATTATATTTCTTGCTCCGTATAGCCAGTCTAGAGCGACGTTCATACTTCCTTTCTTTCGCTGGTATGGGCCTAGGCCCATCCAATTGGTCGTGGTGGACTAGAGTCTTTAATTCCTCAACAATTCTTTTTAGCAAAAGTATAATATATCTGAAAAAAAATTCCAATAATTTCCGCTTTTTATGACGGCTCTCCAATCTTTACCTGAACAAGTTTGTAGCTTTAGAGAGGTTTTTTATTAATAATTTGACCTTTGATCATAATTATTGGGCTCGTCAGCTGTACCGCAGCATTGTATGAGCCCAATATCCTACGGGCTTGGGACTTACTGGCCCATTCTCATCCGTCGATTTTCCCTGACATTCCAAATAAAAAGACTAATTATATCGCCCTATAACTTGTAAAGAAATACTCCGTGACAGGTGTGGTGACTTTTATCGTTTATTGACTAATCGGACTATATAGGAGAATAATAAGCAAAAAAAATATTTTAATATAACTGAGAGCCCAAAATAATTATCGGTCGTCTCCTAGGAAAATGACAGCTACACTCTCACACAACAAAATCACATATAAAAATTTAATCCAAATTTTCTCGTATTTATCTTCCACCAAATGACAACCATGACTTGTTCCATCCACATGGGGGTCTTAGATTCCTTGAGTACAAAAACAAAAGAATAAAATCTCTACACCAGCCTATCGTTGGTCACTCAAACAGGGTTCAAGCAACCCATCATGCATCGGTCACACGAGCATCCACTCTTCATCGGCTTTGCTTCTTAATCCAAAGGAAATTGCATTCCAACCGATTCATGATCACATCTATTACTTACTTACAACTGACAATCTAAATCAAGTGACATCTGTTCATTGTACAAGAGATAATGATACTATATATCATGGCTGTGGGATATAACACCATAACAAATGAGTGAGATTAACAAATGAAGATGCCTAGCTTATTATAACAAGGAGTAGACTTCATACCTATGTTTTGTTAATACCACCTACCAAATGGATTTTTTTTTCAAAGAGATAGGAATCTAATTATTGGAAAAAAAAAAAATTCTTCACGGTTAGTTCAAGAAGAATCTCAAGAGGGGCTATAAGTACTTGTAGTAGATAGAGGGAGTTGGTCGTCAGGACCTACACAGAGAAAGAAATAGAGCAAGAAGAGAGCCTCAAAGTGCCAATTTGTAGGGGTCACATCTCGGTATCGTGCTCGAGCGGATTATGCGTTGTGGCTTAATTAAGTTTGGTGTGTTCTGGCTATTTGTTAAAATCCCTCTCTCTCTCTCTCTCTCTCTCTCGGTTGCTTGCATACTTGTTAGTGTGTGGGGGTTATTTTATGCTCTTGGATGTATTGGAGTCCAATGGACATCCAACTCAATACAGCTGGAGTTGGGTTCCAAACGCTAACTTCCCATCACTGTCTTTGTCATCATGCCATCAACCTTTAATCCTTGTTTAATCAAAGGCTTAATTAACGAGGATGTGTACTTGGGTGATTTTGGTTTGTCCCACATACAGTCATTCAGTTGTAATCTGATTATGCCGGCGACGTGTTTTGTAGAGGGCCGGATACGTAAGCGTATCGGCGATGCATCCGTCAACGGGTTAGAGAGATACATAGATTGCTAATTAGATG